TCAGCAGTTGTTTATGAATTTTGGATTTTGGCTCCTCCCACTTCGCTGCTCTGTACCTACATATGCAGACGGGTGAGGATCCAAACTCACGGGGTCAGTGATCAGGCGTGTGGAGGCCTGCAGATGTGTGAGTCTGATCTATAATAAGACTGGGCTGTGAGGCATTTCAAATCTTCACCTCCTCCTCCTCCTCCTCCTCCTCCTCCTCTGCCATCCCTTCATTCCTCCCCTCCGTCCAGGGTGTGCCACCTCCTCCACCTGCTGCTGTCTATCTCTCTGTCAGTCACACAGGGCTGCAGTTTAAAGTTGCTGTCAGGTGCACAAGTCTAACTGTTGCTGATAATCATATATTTACTTAAAATGAAATATTATGACCACAGTTTATAAACTCAGAGTTCAGGAAACTTTCCATTTTGATTAAAAAACATGTTTTTAACTAAAAAATTACCACTTTGATAACCAACAAGATTGCCTTTTGCAGACACAAAATTTACAGATGACATTAGTGTCATCCTGCATATTACTGTCACTGTTGTGTCTGTTGTGTGGTTATAAAACACAGCAGGGATGACTGCGCATTTGGGCTCTGGCTGCCACTTTCAGACCATTAGTACGACAGTGTTGACACTGCTGCACCTGATACAATACCAGTCACTCAGTGCAAAAATAATAGCTTGAAAGCCTGGATCTCAACACGTCGTGCTGAACATCTCTGTTTGACATGTGTGTGAGCAGTATGTGTGCTAGTCAAACACAATTTGTCAGGTAGGATATCTAAACTATGTAAGATTTAGTGTTTAAAATGAGATGAAATAATCACACTTTTCTTAAAATGCAACACATCTGATTTTTATTCACATAGCACATAGACCATTAGCCATAGCATTTTTGAAGATGTTTGATTATAAACTGATAAAGGAAGAGTAACAACATATAGCTCTGAATCTGATCAGTATCCAAAAGTACATGGTTATTGCATAGCATTTTTTCGAACAATAACATCAAATAAGAAAATAATCACAGTCTCAAAGTGGGGCCCACTATGTTATGTGCTATTATATGTCATTATCCCTGTCGGAGCAGCAGAGTCAGTGATCAACCTGGGCCTCAGGGAGGGTTTGATATCTCCGTTCTCGTCACTTACTGTAAGAGTGTATCACTTTATGTGTCAAGGGTCTATCTCTCCAAAACTTGTTCTACTCTGTGAATGTCTGTCCCTGCCCCACTGTGACTGATACACTGATGGCTTGGCAGCAGTGAATGTTTGTTATGTGTTCCTGTGACCCTGCTGGATACCTGATACCTCCAACCCACCCAAACAGGCACGACATCCATGCTGGCACTCTTCATGTCCAAACACACACACACGCACAAATTTAAACACACAGATGGGCTTTCTCCCTTTGCATAGACACAGATACACACACACACAGTTAAGCTCGGGCTGCTATAAAAGCGATCACATGAAGGCAGGACAGTGAGGAATGAGATTGCTGGGGGCCACAGTGATTCCCAAGCTAGCAAAGATAAAGTGACCAGGGAGGAGCTTCTACACATTCAGCAAACTCTTCAGTTAAATCAATCAATTCTTTATGTAATGAAATATACTGCTACAGTCTAGGCTCTACCCAGTTTCTACTGTTTAAGTAGCAGCCAACCAGGTTACTGCAGATATAACTCTCAAAGTTGGTATTTAATTCGCACCACATCAGTTTCACACAGCTCCATGCTCAGAGGAGCACCAGAGGAGCTTTTGATCTTTAATACACCACAACTATTCAAGCATTCTTCCAAGGTCTGTGAATTACACATTGTTGTTTTTCCATTGGTGCTACAAAAACAACTTAATTGGTTCCTGCTGGCATCATTTTTACTTTTATAGCTCACGTCATCTCTTAGTGGTGAGTGGTGGATGAATATCAAATGTGTTTGAAACCAGCCTGGTAACCCTGTGTCTGTGTGGACATCAAAATCAGGCCAGCAGTCTTGTCTTGGTCTAGGCCACTTAACTGTATTTGACTGCACCAATTATATCCCCACTTGCCTTGTATCAGTGTAAAATTACTCATTTTGTTAAAGGATTTGCCAACAACATGACTATTTGTATATCAATGAGTCATGCCATGTTACCTTGAATCCATGAAGAAAACGTTTTCTCGCATTCCTCGATGGAAAACAGCAAACGTATTGATTTTCGTTTTGTGTTGGCCACCGTAATCAGAAGCCAATCTGCTGTGGGCAGCTGCAAAATCACTGATTCATAACGTGAATTTTTTTTTACCAGTTTTAATCACCTGGTCCATTTGTTTTTTGGAAGAGACCTCTGCAGATAATAGTGTCCCGGGGGAAAATCTCCTGAGCAATGAATACTGAAGGAATTCTAGCTGGGTTTCAGCTGGTTGCAATCTGCACCCTTTTTGCCTTTTTGGGTTCTTCGTTCACTGTGGCAGCATGTGAGAAAAACAAAGTTTTCTTCACAAATTCAAAGTTACAAGGCATGACTAACTGATATACAACTGGTCATTTTGTGGGTGAAGTATTCCTTTAATATGACTGTTATACAGTGGTTACTAATGCATTCACATTGTCTGAAAAGTTAAGAAAGAAAAGTTAAAACTACGATAAGATATTTCAGTGCCACAGTAAATCAACTGACTGTGACTCCTGTAACTTACAGTATGTTTTAAGACAGTAAGAAACTTAACTTGAACATCTCTGCAGTAGCTTCCTGGATATCTCACTTTGCTGTCTCACTTTTACTGATACAGTTCACTATTTGTCTCCTGGCATCACTTTACCCAAATGACTCATATTTAGTTTCAAGACATGGTGGACTGGTTAATGCTGCTGCTGAAGTTGTTACCTTTGGAATTTTCTACTGGTTTGCGATCTCAGTACCTAAATATCCTCTGTATATAAACCAATGCTGCTCCTTCTCCTACTTCTTCCCCTTCCATCATTATTTCAGAGAACTTTCTGTATTGATAACTGCACTTCAACCTTTGCAAGCATAGTTGGTAGATATTTTTGATGCTTACAAAATTTGATAACCCACCACATTCTTTACTTTGCAATGGTATGTGTATAGTTTTTTGTTGTTGTTGTTGTCATTATGACAATGTAAAAACTAACATGGATGCTTTGGGGCAGTTTGAGTAGTACCGTATGTCTTAAAAGTGTCTCAGTGGCGCATTTAGATGGTTTGGATGGTTTAGGCTCGGGTAGCTGGTGCAGGGGCATGACCACGACTACGGAAAGAATCTCAAGAGCGCCGTCCCAGAAGCTTCAGACTGACGGCCATGTCACTTAAGCAGAAGTTTAAACTCCACAAGCCTGCCATGAACACATGATGCTACACCTTCTTAAGAATGCTACTGGAGCTAATTTACTGTTATATGATACAGTCCTGTTTTAATGGCATGTCACTGGTGACTGGAGTATCCTGCAGATAGACTGTATGTTTTAAATGTACACAGAAACCATATTGAAATTATTTCTGATTTAATTCAACTTTTACGTTTGTAGGACAGAATGTGAGAAACGGGCTTGGCACAAATGACCCCGGCTCAAGCCCCAGTGGGGGCCATGCAAAGTTCTGTGGTTGACACTTAAATGGGATCAAGTACAATGATTTACTTAATACTAATACTTACTAAATTTAAGGTTATCACAACACATTTCAACTTGTCATCTGAAACCCCACCACTCACAGTTATTGTGAAAATGGTGCAGTCCAATTCCAACCGCACCAGGAATGACAGGCTACACTGAATGTGGCAGACCAGCAACTAAAACCCACTGTAATGGGCTCAGTTTAAAGCTAGAGTGAAGATACTAGCACAAAATGAAACTAGACAACCTTAGACATCCACTGGTACCAACCATGTCATGCTGTGTGGTTGGAGGGGGTCTTAACAATCTTCCAAAAGAGGAAAAAGTGGCATTGCCATTTTTCTAAATGTTGTATTTGAATATTTCTACATATCCATAAACAGGCTTGGAACTGCATAAAGTAGCACATTTTAAACACCGGAGTCCACTTCTGATTTGATCTTATGATTTAATGCCTTGTAGTAAGGAGGGTAACTGTCACAGTCTTATATGAGAGACATTTTTTCTCTGTGTTTTAAAATAACTGACTTGACCTTTCTTGCTTGGTAATCATATGAGTATGCAGAGCAGAACGTAGCCTGGATGGGTCACTTACACCAGATTTGGTAATGGTTGTTAGACATAGGTCAAGAGCATATTTAAAATTACTCAGTTGGTATTAGAGCTAAGGATGAGTAGGTGGTGGTGCAGTGGGTGTGGATGAGGGGCCCAATTTGGAACATTTCATCCCCCTGTTCATAATTCCTAATGTCTGGCCTGTCAGTGATAAAAACAGATGGTAATATCTTTTAATATTCTACAGTATGTATACACATGCAGTGAGAGCTCAAGAACATGAGTACAATGCATTCAGTATTTTTAATCACTTTTAGGTCAATCATTCTATATTTAAAAAAAATGGAAAAAGCAGAGGTCAGGTACTGTGCATTATTTCAGAAATGAATCACTGAGATACAGAATCACAGATAATACAGTGACAGACTAAGAAAATAAAATGATAAATCAGCAAAGAAATTACAGTGCACCTTGAGAACAAAGTCTCTGTTGCCTTTACTCATCATAGGACAAAATTAGAGGAGCTCAATCAACTATTCCATTTTCAGTGTACCTCATTTCTGTCTTGTTCAAAAGAGTTTGAGGTTATTGTACAGTGTTCAATGGAACCCATTTATCTACAGGACAGTCCATTAAATTAATTCAGCCACTTCAGGAAATGGCTTTCCATTCCTATTTTTATGTTGCTAGTCAAGACCCTTATATGCAATATAATGAAAAACATAAAAGTAAATGCTCTTCATTGCGGTCTCCTCTTAATTGAACTAGATAAGCTCTGAGTTACTGCAGACACCAGAATAACCAGAGTTGTTGTTTTTTTTTGTCTGTTTCAGACTCTGACAGAGACCAAGAAGACAGCCATGTTTTCAGCCAGACCAGAGATCCAGCCGTAAGTAAACACACACCTCCTTCTGCTCATACAAATCCATAAACCAGAAGCTGAAGGAAGGAGGACGCACAAGTCTAATATTTCCAGTCGTGATTGGTGCAAGTTGCAGAGGGATTCCAAAGAAACTAGTAGGCAACAGCACTCACAATAGACTAGAGTCAAAATCTATGTTTTAATAGGGCAACACACGGCCAAACAAAATGACAGATGCATTTCGACCTAAGCCTTCTTCAGTGTATCCAACAAATCCATAAACCAACCATACTGACGTAGTTCTTTAATCGAGAGTCACAACATCAAAGTGAGCAGGTGAAATGTTAAATATGAAAGACTTGAGTCTTGAATAAAATAAATAATAAAGAGATGATCGACATAACAAACTACAACAACAGTGTACATCTGTATTCACTGTGAAGGAGATGGTACGTGTTTTATTGCGGTCATCTCAATCCCTTTTAAAAGCACCATCTGTCCTCCACACATTAATTACACTCTGCACTTCACATCTGATACACAGACAACACTTTAAGTGTGTCAGTGGAGCGATTCCTTTACAGGATTGCAGTTTGATGACTGAAATGAGTGTCGGCAGATGTTACCGTTTGTTTTCCTACACAATAATTGACTTTACAGGAGATGTTGTTGTCCTCTAATCCAATATGTTTGAAATTCATTGCAATATTACACTTATTATACTTTATGGAGAGAGTTGTGCATTATTTTTGATTGCAAACAATCATTTTAGCTCCATGCTAGCTGCTGAATATGTGTGTGTGTGTGTGTGTGTGTGTGTGTGTGTGTGTGTGTATTGTGAACAAGCAGGGCAGATTATTTAAGTGAGTCCGTTTTCATTGATTTTCACAATGTTACTGATTCAACCACTATGTGTCACAAAAGATTTAAAAGAAGAGGACAAATTTGGTTGCCAAAAATGAAATGTAACTATATTTTTTGAAAAATATTACAGAAAGTACTGTTGGTCCTTCAGGGATTTAGCTCACAAACTGCACTGGAAATTTGTGGTTGTTAAGTGTCAGAGATCACAGTAGCCTGTCAACAGGTGAAGTGCTAAAACAGGATGTTTTTACAAGATTAACTATGTGAGAGTTTATGCAGCAAGTATAGAGGAAGGAGATGTGGGAGGCTGGGACATGACATGTTTCCTCAGGAACGGAGGTAAGAGGAAAAGGAACCAACATCCATCTCAGTTTAATTCACTCCAACCAAAAAACATTCCACGGGAGAAACTCTATTGAGAAACACACACATTACAAATAAAAACACATGATGATCATGATAGTTGTAGTGGTGGAGGATCTATATTTATATTAAAAGAAATAAACAGGAGAAAAATATAAATTTCCCCCTCCAGCCTTCCCCTGGGCTAGTGAGAGAAGTGTATCCCAGTTCATTAAACTTAATATAAATTCAGTCATAGAAGAAGATCATCCCAACCACCAGAAAAAATGTTGCCATTGGATATTTTTGCAAACCATGGATACATTACTATGTAGCAGATACACTGAAACTTTACAGTTCAACAACGCTGTGGTTCATGTGGTTAGGTTTCAGCACATTTACTACTTGGTTATGGTTAAGAAAAGTTTATGTTTTGGCTTGAAATACCCTGTTTTGGGGGCACAATCCCAACTGGAAACACAGTGATATTTTAGTAAAACACAGCCTCTGTTTTTAGGGTACTATCCCGGCTAAAACAAACAGTGACAGGTTGCTGCAAAACCCTCATGTTTGGGGCCTAAAAAGCCATTGGAAACACAGCAATGACTCTGTAAATCGGTTATGTTGTGCAGTGGTCTGCAGCTTGGCAGGCTTCTCGCCAAGGTGACACGCCATCAACCATCCCCTCCACCTCCAGATGACAAAATCAGCTCATACACTAAGCCACGTTGTATTAATACAAACCCTATGAGACATGCAAATGTGATGTATTTGTGGTTTAGAGAAAATTTAAAAGCCAACATTTTCTTCTGGTGACAGGGCTGAAGAACAAAAAGCCATCAGTCATCTGCAGATGATGATGATGAGTTTAACGTCTTCATGTCATGTTGTCATTTTTTACTGCCTCTGTGCCCTGACTGAAGTTTGATTTTGTGGGTTTTCACGGCCACATCCTCAAGTTAAGTGGATTGGTAGTAGCAATGCATGGTCAGCATACAGAGTACCTCTGTGTACAACAAACCCACAGCTTGTATTTCCTTTTTAAGCTGACGGAGCTTCACACACACACACTGTAACATATATTCAAACCTGGGAGCCTGGAGCTTTCTCAGTACAGCCCTTTTTGTCAGTTGAGTAGCTTCATTGGAGCCAAGAATGTCAGTGGTTGTTGAAATAAATTCACATTCTCAGTCCCCATGTGCTGTAGATTTCTCCAGGAAAGCTGCAGTGCAAAGCTGCTGTGGAGGCACAGATAATCTTGTTAGCTGAGTTACAGGGTAAAACCCCACTGAAAACTGCTGCTGCATGAATATTTTGAAGTGACTTAACCCTATCTTCTACTGTGTGTGGCAGGTAAAAGACAAGAGGCGGTCGCCCCCCTCCAACAGATCCCCCTCTGCCCCACAACGAAACCCTCACCACAGCGGCTCCACAGAGGAACAGGAGAGCCCTGAGAGAGTGGTGAGACACACACACACAGACCTACCTGCAATAAAACACTACTAGGATTAACAAACAGTGATACACACATGAGGAAACGCATGTATACATACATGCACCTGCAAGGATGTTAGAGTGTGTCTATAAAGATGTACATGGGTTCCTAGGAAGGAAGTCGTATGATGCCAGTAGGACTTTCAAGTTTTGTACTTACTGTAACTGGAAGAATTGCATGGTTGTGTATAAGACAATGAATGTGCAGTACAATGTGGGCAAATCTAAAAGAACATGTGGTCAAGTTATTTTTGTTAAAAAAAAACAAACTTTTTATTGCCAAGACTTAGATGAGGAGATTGATACCACTTTCATATCTGTCCCCTAAATATGAAGCTACAGCCAGTTAGCTTTGCGTAGCTTCATGTCCAGGATGTTACCTCTTGGAGTCTCCACTTATGTCTGAAAACCTCACGGTGATGACAAGACTCCAGGAAGTCAGAGCTCACGACCAAGAAATAATTCACCAAATAACCTCCTGTACCACAGCAGCATGACAATTTTAGACTTCATTTTTTCTGCATATGAAACAAGCAATATGTAACATGTTAACAGGTCTACATGTTTACCTGTAGACAAAGCCAGGCTAGCCTTTCCCTCCAGTTTCTGGTCTTTATGCAAAGCTAAAGCTCGGCATACACTGTATGACTTGAGCCTGTTTTAGAAATGTTGTTTAATTCCAACTGCAACCGTATGGGTACATTTTTTTAGTTTAATTTTTTAATTTTATATACTTTATTAATCCCCGGGGGGAAATACAATTTTTCACTCTGTTTGTCAGTTACACACAGGTCCGAACACACACATGCACAAACAGGACCTATACATGCACTAAGTGGAGAGATGTCAGAGTGGGCTGCCCATGACAGGCGCTCCGAGCGGTTGGGGGGTTCGGTGCCTTGCTCAGGGGCACCTCGGCAGTGCCCAGGAGGTGAACTGGCACCTCTCCAGCTACCAGTCCACGCTCCATATTTTGGTCCGGACGGGGACTTGAACAGGCGACCCTCCGGTTCCCAACCCAAGTCCCTATGGACTGAGCTACTGCCGCCCCAAATTTTTATATGTTCGCACTGTGCAGTCCAAACGTCAAGCCATGACCTGAGTGCTGTAAAAAAAGACAATAAAACCGTTCTTTGGCTCTTGCAGACTGTTCTGGCTATTGACAACGGTCAAAAAAGATTTGTTTGAAAGCTCAAGGGCTGCAGGCAGGTAGAAGTTTGTTTGCTAGCAGAGGTACAGTTCACAATAATGCAGACATCCCAAAAAAGAGCTTAAAAGTCCATCTCTGCAAAAATGGTTCAGTCCAAGTTTTGTACCATGTCTATCTCTGTCTCTCTGTCTCTCTGTCTCTCTGTTTCTCTCTCACACACACACACACACACACGCACACACAAGTCAGCAATTAGTAGCAGCAACAAACTTTCTGTGTATTGGCTACACTGTTTGATTGATGAGTGAGAAAAAAGCACTGAATTTAATCATGTCGTGGCTCTGCTTTAACTTGACTTAAGTCTGAAAATGTCAGAAATTCACTCAAATGTCTGACAGACAGTCAGGAGCAGCTGATCAGGCTATGCTTGATCCTCGCTTCCCCCTGTACACTGTACAGCAAACAACGCCCAACAAAGCTGAAAAGTCAGCCCAACTCTAAAATGAGTCATGCAGCTCAGAAATTGGCTCAGAAACAGGCTCAAATCATACAGTGTATGCCCCACGGCTGCTGGCTGTAGCTTTATATTTACCATATAGATATGGGAGTGTTATCACTCTTTCACTCTCAGAAAGAAAGTGAATAAGCAAATTTCCCAAAATGCCAAACTATTCTTTTAATTTTGACAAACAAAGCAATAAAAGCTATGTTTTTACTGCTGTCATCACTATAAAATTTTAAAACTATTACATGTACCTGGATGCTGTTGGTGTATGCTGCCACTGTGATTCACTTTCTTTGGACTTTAGACATTGACCTCAGGACCCTCAAAGCTCCAGTCACATACAGAAAATGTTGAAATGTTTATGAACTGTTATTCTGATATATTTGGAAAGTGGAACGCAGCATTGTGACTGACCTCGTGGCCCCAACAACCACCAGGCCCATACAAACTGGATCACAATGGTCCAGGCCTGAACTGCTGAGGTCATTGTCCAGCACATAAACAACCTTTCATTTCTCCCAGCTCAGCACAGATGCCAGTCACAGCCTTTTCACACTGCAGCAGGTGACCGCCAGCAGCTGGACACAAAGTCAACAACAAAAAACATTTGAATATGGCAAATCTGAAACCAGCTGCAGGTGTCAGAGTAAACACTCTGACCCATATTCATAGACTGAATTGTAGCACGTTAGCACTTTAAGAGTTTTTGTGAAACAAAGTGGTGCTGCTGCTTGTCACGAGAGAATGATGCCTGCTGGTTTCCAACAGAAATGTCAGTGTAGCTAACTGGCACATTAAACTTTTTTTTTCCACACAGGAAAGATGCCACAGTTACACAGAAATACTAATATATACTCTACATTTCCTGTTTTTTTCACCCTCATCTAATAATTGAAGATAATGAGATAATAATGAGAATGGAGACATAACAACAGATTCTGGATAAAAGCAATAAACCAAAAATAATAACGGACAATAACATTTAAATAGCACATTTTTAACCATAGATTGGTTAATTTTGAGTTGTTCATTATGACCTTTATCCACATTGCAGGTGATCTCACCTTTTGCTGTCTGTGTTGTCTGCAGGTGCAGAAGGAGAAACTTCATGCAGAGCTGAAACAGGTGTTGAGTCAGAAGAGAAGTCATCTGAGAGAGTCGACCTGCCAACTGGCCGAACCAGAGATGGACTCAGAGCCCACAGACGAACAGACAGTAAGAAGCAGTTTGATAAACATGGTCACAGTAAAGCTGAAATTTTACTTTTGTTTGTTTCAGTGGTTGAACAGTAAACAGAAATCATAGTTTACCCTCTATTTTTTATGACCATCCCCAGTGTTAAAGGAAATGGAAGACAATGCACACAAAGTCACTCCAATAGTTGATAAAGCACGCGATTTACTTTTCCCTTTAAGAGTCAAGTTACTTTCCTCAGTCAGCTACTGTAAAAGTGGATGTAAACCAAGAATAGAGTGACCTTTCCTCTGTGACAGCTTAATGGATAAAATGGATTCAGAGGTAAAGTGTGAAGTGACAAATAACTGTACAGTAAACTCTGCACTCACTCAAGCAAGTGAAAAAAGATATAAAACAGAGTTGAAGCCCTTGTGCACCAAACACAATTTAAAGGAAAGTTAAAGACAAGACAGAAGACATTTCAATTTCTTCTGTGATGAAGGTCTTTAAAGTTGGAGAATGCAACAAATGCACCCACAGTTGTATTTTTCTCATATGTTTTAAATACAGCGCTTGTTATACAGATACATTTAGAGTGTTACTGTTGAATGGGATCAGCATCACTTTGTGATGCAAATCAATAAGACCCGTGAGTTTATAAACAAATTATATATTCTGCTACTGAGAAATGTTGACAGAGTTGTCTAGTTGTTCTAGTCCTTGGTTTATGAAACCATTGAATTAAAGGTATTTTTAAAAACTTAAAGGTCCAGTGTATAGGATTTAGGGGAATATATTGGCAGAAATGGAATATAATATAATAAGTATGTTTTTGTTAGTGTATAATCACCTGAAAAGAAGAATTGTGGTGTTTTCATTATCTTAGAATGCCGCATTTATATCTGCATAGGTAGCAGATCCCATAGGGAATAGAGTCCGCCATGTTGCTGCACCATGTTTCTAGCTCAGAATGGACAGATCAAACACTGGCTCCAGATAAGGCATTTTGTGTTTTCGCTTTTCCATATTGTCCACCATAGTTAGCAACCCTTTTGCAACATGAGCAGGAAAAACACTCTTTTTTAACATAAAACTGCTTAATTCAGTGTTTTTACCAGTTTAAATCATTGTTTTGGAGAGGGTTTGACCTCTGCAGATAATTCAGCTCCTGGGAAAAGCCTTTTAACAAAGAACACCAAAGGAATTCTATTCAGGAGTGGTATCAGCTGGTTGCAATCTGCAGTCCTCACTGCTAGATGCCACCAGCTCCCGCTAAATCTTGCACACTAGACCTTTATGTTATCCTGATCAATTGATATCATGTCACTTTGCTTCAACATGTGGAAAATCAAGTTTTTCATCTGTATGTATGAATCTTTGTTTATGCTAGTGGGTGGAGGAAGCCAGTAAGTCCATGGAAATAGTGGTGGAGACGGAGGCAGAAGCTGGAGCCAGCGGCTACAGTGTGACTGGTGGAGGACAGCAAGGGATCTTTGTTAAAGACGTGCTCAGAGACTCACCAGCTGCTAAACATCTCAGTCTACAGGAAGGTACCTGGGGTCACACCTGATTCGTTTAGGGAGCACTTACAATAAACATTCTCAGTGCTTTGAACATAATCCAAACAAGAAATAAAAACATTTACGCTGCAAAGTCCGAGCCATGTTGAGTAAGTGTCCTGGGTTTGTGCACCATTCAGTACCATATTCAATCTTGAAAATTATGTATAGGGTTAGTTTGTCCATTTAAACTGTCTACGCTTATTGATATCTCTCAAGAAAAAAAGAACAATAATGAGAATTAATGTTTGTATTATTCGCACTGAGGAATATGGGACAACTAGAGAACAATTCAAAATTATAATTTTGTCATTAATTCTGCTACATGTTATTCATCTTATATTAATGTGGTCAATTAGGTTTATTTTGAATGTACTGACAGCAAGAGTTTGTGTTATCATTTCTAACTTGATGTTTTGCCTTGAGGGAAGCTTCTGCTTTTGGCCACTGGAGAGCAGTAAACAGTCAGCAGTCAGACCACCAGCATCAAAACAAAGATGATAGCGTGATCCCAGACCAGAAAACTATTAATACAGCTTTTAAGATACTGTTATAATATTGATGGCACTGTTGTCATTGGTAATAAATACACTCATAATGACTTGTACATATTTGCATTACAGTTTTTCTTGATTACTTACACACTATAACTGGGAGTATTAGCTAAACATGCCAAGACATGACACCATCTACAAAAAAACAGACCCATTTCCCAAAACTACTCATACTATTCACCTGCTTCCACACATAATTCAATATTCAAAACTCTCTCTGCAAAACCTTACCTTGCAATGTGTTTATTCAGCAAACACATGCTCTTACTGTAATTAACTTGAGTCATCACAACCTTAACTCAAGAACCATACCAATACAAACACTAAAGCTGAAAACACAGCTGCACTATTGCAGCAAGGGCAATATCTTTTTGACCATTGTCTTTATAATGACGGAACTGTGGGTTATTAAGCTAAGGATATTTCTCAACTTCACCAATGAGTTTCTCCTCATTCATTTTTTATCACACACGAGACTCAGCAACAGGCACAGGGTTCTTTTTATGCATACAGTACAGGCCAAAAGTTTGGACACACCTTCTCATTCAATGCGTTTTCTTTATTTTCATGACTATTTACATTGTAGATTCTCACTGAAGGCATCAAAACTATGAATGAACACATGTGGAGTTATGTACTTAACAAAAAAAGGTGAAATAACTGAAAACATGTTTTATATTCTAGTTTCTTCAAAATAGCCACCCTTTGCTCTGATTACTGCTTTGCACACTCTTGGCATTCTCTCCATGAGCTTCAAGAGGTAGTCACCTGAAATGGTTTCCACTTCACAGGTGTGCCTTATCAGGGTTAATTAGTGGAATTTCTTGCTTTATCAATGGGGCTGGGACCATCAGTTGTGTTGTGCAGAAGTCAGGTTAATACACAGCCGACAGCCCTATTGGACAACTGTTAAAATTCATATTATGGCAAGAACCAATCAGCTAACTAAAGAAAAACCAGCGGCCATCATTACTTTAAGAAATGAAGGTCAGTCAGTCCGGAAAATTACAAAAACTTTAAACGTGTCCCCAAGTGGAGTCGCAAAAACCAAGCGCTACAACGAAACTGGCACACATGAGGACCGACCCAGGAAAGGAAGACCAAGAGTCACCTCTGCTTCTGAGGATAAGTTCATCCGAGTCACCAGCCTCAGAAATCACAAGTTAACAGCAGCTCAGATCAGAGACCAGATGAATGCCACACAGAGTTCTAGCAGCAGACCCATCTCTAGAACAACTGTTAAGAGGAGACTGCGCCAATCAGGCCTTCATGGTCAAATAGCTGCTAGGAAACCACTGCTAAGGAGAGGCAACAAGCAGAAGAGATTTGTTTGGGCCAAGAAACACAAGGAATGGACATTAGACCAGTGGAAATCTGTGCTTTGGTCTGATGAGTCCAAATTTGAGATCTTTGGTTCCAACCGCCGTGTCTTTGTGAGACGCAGAAAAGGTGAACGGATGGATTCCACATGCCTGGTTCCCACTGTGAAGCATGGAGGAGGAGGTGTGATGGTGTGGGGGTGTTTTGCTGGTGACACTGTTGGGGATTTATTCAAAATTGAAGGCACACTGAACCAGCATGGCTACCACAGCATCCTGCAGCGACATGCCATCCCATCCGGTTTGCGTTTAGTTGGACGATCATTTATTTTTCAACAGGACAATGACCCCAAACACACCTCCAGGCTGTGTAAGGGCTATTTGACCAAGAAGGAGAGTGATGGAGTGCTGCGGCAGATGACCTGGCCTCCACAGTCACCGGACCTGAACCCAATCCAGATGGTTTGGGGTGAGCTGGACCGCAGAGTGAAGGCAAAGGGGCCAACAAGTGCTAAACACCTCTGGGAACTCCTTCAAGACTGTTGGAAAACCATTTCAGGTGACTACCTCTTGAAGCTCATGGAGAGAATGCCAAGAGTGTGCAAAGCAGTAATCAGAGCAAAGGGTGGCTATTTTGAAGAAACTAGAATATAAAACATGTTTTCAGTTATTTCACCTTTTTTTGTTAAGTACATAACTCCACATGTGTTCATTCATAGTTTTGATGCCTTCAGTGAGAATCTACAATGTAAATAGTAATGAAAATAAAGAAAACGCATTGAATGAGAAGGTGTGTCCAAACTTTTGGCCTGTACTGTACATGGTGAGGAGAGGAGTCGAGCTGCCATAGGAGCAGAGAAAAAGAGCTGCTACAAGAGCTGGTATGTACAAGCAGAGAGTGAGTAGGGAAAAATGCATTTCACTCCAGAGGCAGTGGGGCTGGAAATAGGACAATGGCATAAAGTGTGTCAGGGCGGTGCATCCAGGAGAATTGATGCGCGTCCAGCAGCCACCAGTGTGGGGTTGTATATTGAAAAACTTTCTAACGCATGGCGTTAGCCGTCACTGTGTTTTGGCCTTAAGCCTCAAAGCAGTTAACACAACAATCAGAGTTGCACAAATCAATAAAAAGGACCTAGAGGTATGTCCATGTGCTTTGGAACAACAGAGAGTAAGAGGTAGACGACAAGAATAAAAAAGACAAGTAATCTCAGATTACTGTAATTGCTGCCATCCTAGTTAAGTTCATAATGTGCTCATACAGTTGGGAGGACAATGACAGTAGCTAGACAGCCAGTGCAACCCGACCTAAGCTGTACCATGGTTGCATCCATTGTGTGTATACTTCCAGAAAGGAAGCAGGTCAATTGCCTTGTTGTTACTGAGATAGATTTAATGTTGTAGTGCATATAGACTGAATGTCTACTCTCAGTTGCCACAGTGATGGATGACCAAAGGTCAGTAACTGAGAGACAGCCATCTGTTGGAGATAGGAGGAAACTTCTCACAGCTAAGCAGGAGACTGTCCTGGTGAATGTGATGATTGCCAGTAATGCCATAAGGGAAATCCAAAGCAGAATAGCTGAAGAACAAGTAGTCTTCCAATGAACTGACAGCATTAGCATTTTCACTAATGGTGGACGCCTGTAGTGGGTTGGATAAGACATAAAGGGGGCATTTTTCCTATGTTGCCTTGCAAGACCAAACATAATACGTAATGTTGATGAGCCATTATGGCCTGACCCAAACCTGAGACAAAATGATGAGAACGCAAATGTTGATACTTAGTGACCTGTACATTTGCCAAGTTTCATGTAAATGTCTCTCGTAAAGGTGACCAGCTGCTGAGTGCCAAGGTCTACTTCGACAATGTGAAGTATGAAGATGCTCTGAAGATCCTTCAATGTGCAGAGCCATATAAGGTCAGCTTCCAGCTGAAGAGGACCATCCCCGGAGCAGAGGTCTGTGTGCGGCCTCGAGTTCCCAGCGTTGAGGTCAAAGGTCCCAAGGCCAAGATGGCCAAAATGGTAATCTCTTAATAAAGTCTGTGTCCATTGATTGTTAGTAACATATTAATTTATTACAAAATAGATTTAAAACTCTTTCATATTTTCCAAATGCTTTCAGTTGTTAAATCAATCTACACAAAGTCAGTACCTCAACAGATAGCACGGTACTTAATTTGCACGCCTTCAACTGACACTCTTGTCATCCATGTGTGTTTGTGTGTGTCTCAGAGTGTGAAGGGCAGCAAGCCGTTCAAGGCCAAGAAGAAGAGAGGTGGTCGTTTTGGTCTGAAGAGGCTGAAGGAGAAGCGCAGAGAGGAGCTTGTGATAGAGGGAACACCCCCCAGGCTGGAGATGAGTGATGTAGATGTGGAGTTTTCTCTCCCCAAATTCAAACAGAGGAGGAGTGCGAAGGTTGAAGCAGAAGGAGCCGGAGGCACTGCAATCGTGGGAAAGGCAAAGAGGAGGATCAGGTTGGCCTTTTTTTCTGTACTTTCTGTGTTTGCTTCATGGAAATGGTTACAATTGCCTGCTGTGCTGACTGAACATGTGAAGAGATTTGTCGAGGAACATTGTGAGGGTAAAGAATTGTGTAATACAACACTATTACTGACTGTATTTTGAAGACAGAAATAGTTATCTAAAAAGCAAGTTTTTTCTTTCATAAAGCATTCTTCATGAGGCATTTTGGAATATTTCCAATGTTTTTTGGCTATATTATATGTTTTTTTCTTCTTCTTTATTTGGTTGTCCCAGGTTTCCCCACATAAAAACAAAGGGGTACACTGGAGAGGACACAGGAGGAAAAGTGGTTGGAGGACAACTCGAGGGACAGGTGAATATCTCACCACCGGAGATACCTGAGGCTAAACTGAAAACCAAAGGAAAAGGACACAAGTTTGGAATCACCTTTCCTAAGACCAAACATACAAAGTCAGGGTCAGCTTTGGAAACTGGATCTGTGGAGCTGAAGCCTCCAGGTGTGAACATCCAGCCACCATCAGTGGAGTTCAGTTTGTGTGGTGATAAAAACGTAGACGTGGAGAAGGGAGGCGTTAAGCTTAATGCACCTGATGTGGAGTTTGCACTCCCCTCAGGAAAATCTGAGGCATCTTTGCCCCATGGAAAGACAGAAATCAAAGCTCCTAAACTCAACATCAAAGCAGGAGCTGATGCAGAGGCGGCTGTTGAAAAAGGTGACGTAGACGTAGGCAAAGGAGATGCAAGGTTAAGAATGCCAAAGTTGAAACTGCCCAAAGTTAGACTTTCTCGTCATTCTGATGAGATAGATGGTGACATCAAAGTGAAAGCACCTCCAAAAGTAGAAATTAAAGATGCTGATAAGATTAGTCTCCCTGAGGCAAATATCACCAAACCAAAGATGGATGTTGATCTCTCAGGAAAAGCTGCATCTATACAAAAGCCTTCTGTTGATATTTCTTTACCAAAAGTGAAGGGAAAGTCCGACATCAACGTCTCACTCCCAGAGTGCGAAGGAACTGGAAAGACAGTGATCAAAATGTCTGCTGTTGACATCTCTGTGCCTGATGTTGATTTGGAGTTGGACACCAGACACAGAATTCCTGATGAGATAGAGGGCACTTTTAAAGGGCCAAAAATCTCCATGCCAAAGGTCGACATCTCGTTGCCAAAGATGGGATCTTCCAGTGTGGACATTAAAGGTCCAGAAGGTGGAGGGAATATCAGTCTACCTTCTCTTGATATCACTCTTCCGGAGGGGAAAACAGACAGTGGAGATGTTGATATGGACTACTATGTTGGTGGAGATGGGAAGTTCAAAATGCCTGAGTTTGACATTTCTCCTCCAAAAATTAAGCCACAAGTAGGAGAAGTAAATATAAAAGGAGAAGGCATCAAGTTACCCAAAGTAGACCTAACACTTCCCACAGGCAAAGCAGGAACAACTGAAATTGAAGGAGGTGGAAAATTTCAATTACCATCATTTGACATCTCTCTCCCTAAAATGAAGACAGGTGAGATGAAGGCTGACACTGAAGGCCCCGAGGTGAAAGGTGGTAAATTTGAAATGCCCACACTCGACATTTCTCTGCCCAAAGGAAAAATAGAAGGAGACACTGACGTAGAAGGGCCTGCTGGGAGGGGAGGAACTGTCAAAATGCCTACCTTTGATGTTTCTCTACCAAAGTTGAAACAACCAGAGGGTCACATGAAAATAGAGACACCCAAGCTTGAGGGTGGAGGTGAGATCCAGATGCCCTCTCTTGATATATTGATGCCAAAAGGAAAGATGGAGAGTAACATTGAAATAGAGGGTCCATCTGCAAAAGGAGGGAAGTTAAAAATGCCCTCATTCGATGTCAGACTCCCTAAGATGGAGACATCTGGGGCTAAGGTTGACTTACATGGACCTGAGATGAAAGGAGGAAAAATTGAGATGCCATCAGCAGACATTTCTCTACAAAAAGGTAAATGCAAGGGTGAAGTTGACTTCAAGGGAGAAGGAAGCACGTTTAAAATGCCATCATACAATATAACTCTTCCAAAAATGAAGTCACCTGAGGGAGAGGTTGTTTTGGAAGGACCTGAAGTAAAGGGCGGAAAGATCAAGATGCCTAGTGTCGATTTCTGTGTTCCCCAAGGAAATGTTGAGGGAAATTTGAACATTGGTGGCAGTGACTTAAAAGGAGACAAATTCAACATGCCCTCTTTAGACATTTCTCTCCCAAACATGAGGACACCTGAAGGAGACATGAAGCTAGAATGCCCCAAACTTCCAACTGTTGAGTTTTCACTCCCAAAGGCAAACATAGAGGGCAACATGGAGCTTGACGGTAGTGGTGGTAGTGGGACCAAGTTCAAGAAGCCAACTTTTGACATCTCACTCCCAAGGATGAAAACCAAGGAGGGACAGCTTGATATTGAAGGACCTGAAGTGAAAGGGGAAGCAAAGTTCAGCATGCCCTCTTTAGATGTGTCACTACCAAAGATCAAATCACAGGGAGGTGAAATCGACATTGAAGGTCCTGATTTTAAGGTTAATACACCAGAGGCAGATTTAGATCTAAAGGGAAGTGAGATAAAAGGAGGGAAAATAAAGATGCCTACATTTGATGTGTCACTACCAAAGACAAAGATGCCTGAGGGAAATATTGGCCTTCAGGGACCCTCAGTTGCTCTCCCAAAAATAAAATCAAAGCGAGGTGATATCAACATTAAGGGGCCAGAAATTAAATTGCCAACTATTGACATATCACCCCCCCAAGGAAAATTAGAGGGGGAAATCACTGTCGAGCGTGAAGGAAAAGGAGGCGAATTTAGCCTTCCATCTGTAGACATTGACCTCCCTACAGTTAAATTCCCTGAAGGAGATGTGAATTTTCAAGGGCCAAAAGTTAAAGGTTCAAAATTTGAAATGCCAAAAGTCGACCTCTCACTTCCTAAAGGAAAAGTACAGGGAGACATTGATATTGACATTCACTCTGGAAAAGATGGGAATATAGAAATATCATCCTATGATATTGGACTTCCTAAAGGAAAATTCACAGGCCCTGAACTTAAGGGAGGAAAAATCAACATGCCAGACGCTGACCTGTCACTTCCAAAAGGAAAGGCTGATGCTGACATCAGTATTGAGGGTCCTGAGATAAAAGGAGGTAAATTCAAAATGCCCAAATTTGACGTTTCACTTCCAAAGATGAACCTGCCAGAGGGCAATGCCAAAGTGGAAGGACCAGAAATAAAAGGAAAAATGGAAATGCCGACAGTTGATATTTCACTTCCAAAAGGAAAAATAAAGGGAGATGTTGATATTCAAGGACCTAAAGTCAAAGCTGACATGTCACTCCCTAAAATTAAGTCTCCAGAGGTAGATATCAGCCTCAAGGATACTGATGTTAAAGGAGGACAGTTTAACTTGCCAACTGTTGACATTTCACTACCCAAAGGAAAAATTAGGGGTGACCTTGATCTTGAGGGTCCTGAGTTGAAAGGGGGTACATTTGAAATGCCAAAATTTGATGTGTCTTTACCGCAAGTGAGTCTACCAGAAGGTGATGTCAAAATAAAAGGCCCAGAAATCAAGGGAGGGAAGACTGAAATGCCAGACATTGATATCTCACTCCCCAAAGGAAAAGCAAGAGGAGAATTTAAAACTGAAGGACATGCTGGCAAAGGAGGAAAGTTCCATATGCCCTCTGTTGATATCTCTCTTCCTAAAATGAAAGCTAAGGGACCAGAGATCAATATAAAAGGCCCTGAACTTAAGGGAGGAAGAATCAACATGCCAGACATTGACCTGTCGCTCCCCAAAGGAAAGGCTGATGCTGACGTAAATATTGAGGGTCCTGATATTAAAGGAGGCAAATTCAAAATGCCCACATTTGATGTTTCACTTCCAAAGATGAACCTGCCAGAGGGCAATGTAGAAATGCCAAAAGTAGATATTTCACTCCCAAAAGAAAAGGTAAAGGGAGATTTTAACATTGAGGGACATGTGGGTAAGGGAGGCAAGTTTAACATGCCCTCGGTTGATATTTCTCTTCCTAAAATAAAAGCAAAGGGAATTGATGTTAATACTGAAGGACCTGAACTTGGAGGTGACATTTCACTCCCAAAAGGAAAAGTTGAGGGTGACCTCAATGTCGAGGGTCCAGAGGTGCAAGGAGGGGAATTTAAAATGCCAAAATTTGATGTCTCATTGCCAAAAGTGAATCTCCCAGAGGGCAATGTCAAAATAAAAGGTCCAGACATCAAGGGAGGAAAAATTGATATGCCAGACATTGATATTTCACTCCCCAAAGGAAAAGCAAAAGGTGAAATTGCAATTGAAGGACATTCTGGCAAAGGAGGCAAGTTTCATTTGCCCTCTCTTGATATATCTCTTCCTAAAATAAAAACAAAGGGACCAGAGATAAATCTTGAAGGCCCTGAAGTTACAGGAGGAAAACTAAACATGCCTTCACTTGATGCTTCTCTTCCCAAAATAAAATCTCCAAATGTAGATATCAGCCTTGAGGGTCCTGATGTTAAAGGAGGACAGGTCAAAATCCCAGCTGCTGATGTTTCACTTCCTAAAGGAAAAGTCGAGGGTGACATAAATGTTGAAGGCCCAGAGATGAAAGGAGGCAAATTCAAAATGCCCAAATTTAATGTTTCACTTCCAAAGATGAACCTACCGGAAGGCAATGTGGAAATGCCAACAGCTGATATTTCACTCCCAGAAGGAAAGGTGAAGGGGGATGTTGACACTGAGGGACATGTGGGTAAAGGAGGCAGGTTTCACATGCCCTCGGTTGATATTTCTCTTCCTAAAATTAAAGCAAAAGGAGTTGATGTTGATATTGAAGGACCTGAACTTGAAGGTGACATTTCACTCCCCAAAGGAAAAGTTGAGGGTGACATTGATGTCGAGAGTCCTGAGGTGAAGGGAGGTAAATTTAAAATGCCAAAATTTGATGTCTCATTGCCAAGAGTGAATCTCTCGGAGGGTGATGTCACAATAAAAGGCCCAGATATCAAGGCAGGGAAAATTGAAATGCCAGACATTGATACTTCACTCCCTAAAGGAAAAGCAGGAGGAGAAATTGAAATTGGGGGACATGCTGACAAGGAAGGCAAGTTCAGTATGCCATCTGTTGATATCTCTCTTCCTAAAATGAAAGCTGGGGAACCTGAGATAAATCTTGAGGGACCTGAAGTTACAGGAGGAAAACTAAACATGCCATCACTTGATGTTTCTTTGACTAAAATAAAATCTCCCGACATAGATATCAGCCTCAAGGGCCCTGATTTCAAAGGAGGAAAGGCCAACATCCCAACTGTTGATATTTCAATTCCTAAAGGAAATGTTGAGGGTGACATAAATGTTGAAGGCCCTGAGGTAAAAGGAGGAAAATTCAAGATGCCCAAATTTGATGTTTCTTTACCAAAAGTGAGTCTCCCAAAGGTTGATGCCAATGTGGAAGGACCACATATGAAAGGAAAACTTGAAATGCCAGCTGTTAATATTGCACTTCCAAAAGGAAAAGCAGATGTGGATATTGACATTGATGGGCATGGTAGTAAGGAAGGGAAGTTTCACATGCCCTCACTTGATATATCTCTTCCTAAAATCAAAGCAAAGGGGGCTGATGTTGATATTCAAGGACCTGAAGTAAAAGGTGACATGTCACTCCCTAAAATTAAGTCTCCAGAGGTAGATATCAACCTCGAGGGTCCTAACATTGACATTTCACTCCCCAAAGGAAAAGCAGGAGAAATTGAAATTGAAGGACATGCTGGCAAAGGAGGAAAGTTCCATATGCCATCTGTTGATATCTCTCTTCCTAAAATGAAAGCTAAGGGACCAGAGGTCAATATAAAAGGCCCTGAACTTAAGGGAGGAAGAATCAACATGCCAGACATTGACCTGTCACTCCCCAAAGGAAAGGCTGATGCTGACCTAAATACTGAGGGTCCTGAGGTGAAAGGAGGTAAATTCAAAATGCCAAAATTTGACGTTTCACTTCCAAAGATGAATCTGCCAGAGGGAAATGTCAAAGTGGAAGGAGCAGAGATGAAGGGAGGAAAAATTGCAATGCCAACTGTTGATGTTTCAGTGCCAGAGGGAAAAGTGGAGGGAGATATCAATATTGAAGGACTACCTGGAAAGGGAAAGTTTGCTGTGCCAAAGGTTGACTTAACAGGTAAAAAAGGTGGTCTCCACATGCCAACTCTTGACATAGATCTCCCCAAATTTGATCTTGATCTCAGCCTTCCTACTGGTCTGACAGACAAAAGCCTCAAGGTTGACACCAGTGCTCCTGAAGCATCAGGGGATTTGAAGATGCCTGGTCTTAAAGGAGATATTAATCCAGCCAAGTTGAAAGTTAGGGGTGCAGACATCGAGACAAGTGGGGTAGAAGGTCCAGGTGCATCCCTTAAACTTCCCACTGTCAAATTACCAACAGTTGACATCTCAGCTCCAAAGGTGGACCTAGACTTTGGCCTTGCCAAACCTAGAGGTGACGAAGTGGAAGTGGAGCTTCTGAAAGCAGAAGGAGGTAGGCCTTCTTCAGGGGGCAGCTTTGATCTTCCTGATGTCTCCCTCAAAGTCCCCAGTTTCTCTCTTCCAAGGTTTGGTGGAAAGTCCAAGAGTGGTGATCTGGCAATATCTGGCCCCAAGGGAGAGGTTTCCCTCAGTCCACCACATGTGGAAGGGGAGATAAGAGCACCATCAGTAGAGTTTGATGGGGATGGAAAAGTCAAGGTGAAAAAACCTAAACTCAAAATGCCTTCATTTGGTATATCCAAAAAGCATGCAGATGTATCCGTGTCTTGCCCTGATGTGGATGTTAAAGTGAAAAAGGAGAAAATTGACATTTCTAAGCCAGAGATCAATGTTGAGAGCCAGTATGACAAACCAAAATACAAAGTGAAATTTCCCAAGTTTAAAATGTCATCACCAAAAGGTCACCTCCCAGAAGGAGAGGTTAATGCTAAACTCGAGGCAGATGTGGAAGGGCAAGGGGGCTTCCACGCACCTGATGTCACTATCAAACTACCAAGATTCTCCATGCCAGGATTTGGCTCTAAGGAAAAAGATTTTGTAAAGCCAAGTGGTCATCTTGAATCTAAGGCCAAGGTCAAGATGCCCTCTGTTGAGCTGTCACTACCAACAGCTAAAACACCAGAGACTGAGGTTCTTCTTCCCAAAGCAGAAGTTGATGTCTCAGAGGCTGATATCAGAGGTTATGAGGGAAATCTCAAAATTCCCAAAATGCCAACAATTGATGTTTCCATTCCCAAAATAGACCTGGATGTGTCCCTGCCAAATGTAAAGCATGATGTAAAGGTTGATGGACAAGGAGGCAAATTCAAGATGCCAGACATCAAGATGCCTGACATTGACTTGTCCCTTCCTACAGGAAAAACAAGTGCAACTAGAGATGTTGACATCTCTATGCCCAAAGGAAAGACTGAGGGTCCAGAGGTGGAGCTCAAAGGAGAAGGTGGAAAATTCAAGATGCCACATCTCAGCATGCCCTCTGTTGATATTTCACTTCCAAAAGGAAAGATCGAAGGTCCAGACGTTGAAATGGAGGGAGGTACAGGAGGAAAATTCAAAATGCCTCACATGAAAATGCCAGATGTTGACATCTCTCTGCCCAAAGGAAAGATGGAAGGTCCAGATATTGAAATAGAGGGAGGTACAGGAGGAAAATTCAAAATGCCTCACATGAAAATGCCCAACATTGATATCTCTCTGCCCAAAGGAAAGACTGAAGGTCCAGATGTTGACATCTCTCTGCCCAAAGGAAAGATTGAGGGTCCAGAGGTGGAGCTCAAAGGAGAAGGTGGAAAATTCAAGATGCCACATCTCAGCATGCCCTCTGTTGATATCTCACTTCCAAAAGGAAAGATTGAAGGTCCAGACGTTGAAATGGAGGGAGGTACAGGAGGAAAATTCAAAATGCCTCACATGAAAATGCCAGATGTTGACATCTCTCTGCCCAAAGGAAAGATGGAAGGTCCAGATATTGAAATAGAGGGAGGTACAGGAGGAAAATTCAAAATGCCTCACATGAAAATGCCCAACATTGATATCTCTCTGCCCAAAGGAAAGACTGAAGGTCCAGATGTTGACATCTCTCTGCCCAAAGGAAAGATTGAGGGTCCAGAGGTGGAGCTCAAAGGAGAAGGTGGAAAATTCAAGATGCCACATCTCAGCATGCCCTCTGTTGATATCTCACTTCCAAAAGGAAAGATTGAAGGTCCAGCTGTTGAGATGGAGGGAAGTAGTGGAGGAAAATTCAAAATGCCTCACATGAAAATGCCCAACATTGACCTTTCTCTGCCCAAAGGAAAGATGGAAGGTCCAGATGTTGACATCTCTCTACCAAAAGGAAAGATTGAGGGTCCAGAGGTGGAGCTCAAAGGAGAAGGTGGAAAATTCAAGATGCCACATCTCAGCATGCCTTCTGTTGATATCTCACTTCCAAAAGGAAAGATTGAAGGTCCAGCTGTTGAGATGGAGGGAAGTAGTGGAGGAAAATTCAAAATGCCTCACATGAAAATGCCCAACATTGACCTTTCTCTGCCCAAAGGAAAGATGGAAGGTCCAGATGTTGACATCTCTCTACCAAAAGGAAAGATTGAGGGTCCAGAGGTGGAGCTCAAAGGAGAAGGTGGAAAATTCAAGATGCCACATCTCAGCATGCCCTCTGTTGATATTTCACTTCCAAAAGGAAAGATGGAAGGTCCAGATGTTGAGATGGAGGGAGGTACAGGAGGAAAATTCAAAATGCCTCACATGAAAATGCCCAACATTGACCTTTCTCTGCCCAAAAGTAAAGTGGAAGGTCCAGATGTTGACATCTCTCTACCAAAAGGAAAGATTGAAGGTCCAGAGGTGGAGCTCAAAGGAGAAGGTGGAAAATTCAAGATGCCACATCTCAGCATGCCTTCTGTTGATATTTCACTTCCAAAAGGAAAGATGGAAGGTCCAGATGTTGAGATGGAGGGAGGTACAGGAGGAAAATTCAAAATGCCTCACATGAAAATGCCCAACATTGACCTTTCTCTGCCCAAAAGTAAAGTGGAAGGTCCAGATGTTGACATCTCTCTACCAAAAGGAAAGATTGAAGGTCCAGAGGTGGAGCTCAAAGGAGAAGGTGGAAAATTCAAGATGCCACATCTCAGCATGCCCTCTGTTGATATTTCACTTCCAAAAGGAAAGATCGAAGGTCCAGACGTTGAAATGGAGGGAGGTGCAGGAGGAAAATTCAGAATGCCTCACATGAAAATGCCCAACATTGACCTTTCTCTGCCCAAAGGAAAGATGGAAAGTCCAGATGTCGACATCTCTCTGCCCAAAGGAAAAATTGAAGGTCCAGATGTTGAAATAGAGGGAGGCACAGGAGGAAAATTCAAAATGCCTCACATGAAAATGCCCAACATTGACCTTTCTCTGCCCAAAGGTAACATTGAAGGTCCAGATGTTGAAATAGAGGGAGGTACAGGAGGAAAATTCAAAATGCCTCAAATCAAAATGCCCGATTTTGACATCTCTCTACCCAAAGGAAAGATGGAAGGCCCAGAAGTTGAAATAGAGGGAGGTACAGGAGGAAAGTTCAAAATGCCTCACATGAAAATGCCCAACATTGAAATCTCTCTGCCCAAAGGAAAGATGGAAGGTCCAGATGTTGACATCTCTCTGCCCAAAGGAAAAATTGAAGGTCCAGATGTTGAAATGGAGGGAGGTGCAGGAGGAAAATTCAAAATGCCTCAGATGAAAATGCCTAACATTGACCTTTCTCTGCCCAAAGGAAAGATGGGAGGTCCAGATGTCGACATCTCTCTGCCCAAAGGAAAAATTGAAGGTGCAGATGTTGAAATAGAGGGAGGCACAGGAGGAAAATTCAAAATGCCTCAAATCAAAATGCCCGATTTTGACATCTCTCTGCCGAAAGGAAAGATCGAAGGCCCAGAAGTTGAAATAGAGGGAGGTACAGGAGGAAAGTTCAAAATGCCTCACATGAAAATGCCCAACATTGACCTTTCTCTGCCCAAAGGAAAGATGGAAGGTCCAGATGTTGACATCTCTCTGCCCAAAGGAAAAATTGAAGGTCCAGAAGCTGAAATAGAGGGAGGCACAGGAGGAAAATTCAAAATGCCTCACATGAAAATGCCCAAAATTGACATCTCTCTACCGAAAGGAAAGATTGAGGGTCCAGAGGTGGAGCTCAAAGGCGAAGGTGGAAAATTCAAGATGCCACATCTCAGCATGCCCTCTGTTGATATTTCACTTCCAAAAGGAAAGATGGAAGGTCCAGATGTTGAGATGGAGGGAGGTACAGGAGGAAAATTCAAAATGCCTCACATGAAAATGCCCAACATTGACCTTTCTCTGCCCAAAAGTAAAGTGGAAGGTCCAGATGTTGACATCTCTCTACCAAAAGGAAAGATTGAAGGTCCAGAGGTGGAGCTCAAAGGAGAAGGTGGAAAATTCAAGATGCCACATCTCAGCATGCCCTCTGTTGATATTTCACTTCCAAAAGGAAAGATGGAAGGTCCAGATGTTGAGATGGAGGGAAGGAGAGGAGGAAAATTCAAAATGCCTCACATGAAAATGCCCAACATTGACCTTTCTCTGCCCAAAGGTAAGATGGAAGGTCCAGATGTCGACATCTCTCTACCAAAGGGAAAGATGGAGGGTCCAGAGGTGGAGCTCAAAGGAGAAGGTGGAAAATTCAAAATGCCTCACATGAAAATGCCCAACATTGACCTTTCTCTGCCCAAAAGAAAGATCGAAGGTCCAGAAGTTGAAATAGAGGGTGGTACAGGAGGAAAGTTCAAAATGCCTCACATGAAAATGCCAGATGTTGACATCTCTCTGCCCAAAGGAAAAACTGAAGGTCCAAATGTTGAAATAGAGGGAGGCACAGGAGGAAAATTCAAAATGCCTCACATGAAAATGCCAGACATCGACATCTCTCTGCCCAAAGGAAAGATTGAAAGTCCAGATGTTGACATCTCTCTATCAAAAGGAGAGATTGAAGGTCCAGAGGTGGAGCTCAAAGGAGAGGGTGGAAAATTCAAAATGCCTCAAATGAAAATGCCAGATGTTGACATCTCTCTGCCCAAAGGAAAGATTGAAGGTCCAGATGTTGACATTTCTCTGCCCAAAGGAAAGATCGGAGGTCCAGAAGCTGAAATAGAGGGAAGTAGGGGTGGAAAATTTAAAATGCCCCACATGAAAATACCAAATGTTGACATCTCTCTGCCAAAAGGAAAGATTGAAGGTCCAGAGGTGGAGCTCAAAGGAGAAGGTGGAAAATTTACGATGCCACACCTCAGCATGCCCTCTGTTGATATTTCACTGCCCAAACCAAAGTTTGAAGGTCCAGATGTTGAAATGGAGGGAGGTACTGAGGGAAAGCTCAAAATGCCTCATTGGAAAATGCCAGATTTTGACATCTCTCTGCCTAAAGGAAAACTTGAAGGCCCAGAGGTTGAAATAGAGGCAGGTTCGGGAGAGAAATACAAAATGCCTCATATTAAAATGCCACATGTTGATATATCTCTACCAGAAGGAAAATCTGGTATAATTGAAGGAGCAGAGTTCGAGATTGAGGGAAGCAAACCTAAAATACCACACATGACAATGCCCTCAATAGATATTTCACTGCCAAAAGGAAAGATTGAAGGTCCTGCAGTTGAAATTAAGGGTGAGAGAGGAAAGTTCAAGATGCCAAAAGTTGACATATCTCTTCCTAAAGGAAAACCTTCAATTGAAGGTCAAGAGGTAGAGATTAAGGGAGATCGGGGCCAGTTCAAGATGCCTAATGTGGGCATATCTATCCCTAAAGGAAAAACAAATACTGACATACCAGAGGAGAAAGTGGACGCAGAGGGAGGAACCATCAAGCTGCCACATATCAAGATGCCAAAAGTTGATATTTCACTTCCTACAGGTAAAATCAAAGATAGTGAATCACCTGCTATAGAGATGGAAGTCACAGGAGGAAAGTTCAAAGGTCCACATGTTAAACTTCCAAAGGGGGGTATATCAGTGTTGAAGAATAACTCAGGTGAAGCAGAGATCAACTTACCAACCGTTGAGGCGGGAGGGAAAATTAAAGTGCCACAAGAAGAAGCTGATGTGCATGTTGAGGGAGAGCGCAAAGGTCCCAAACTCAAGATGCCAACAATAGATATCAAAGGTCCAAAAGGAGACCTGGAGCTTGATATAGGACTTCATAGAGGAGATGGCAAGAAGAACAGGCAAAAAGTTGAGCTACCTGACTTGGATCTCAACACAGCAGGAACCAGCAGCAAAGTAAAGGGGCCTAAAGTCAAAGGAACAAAATTCAAGATTGGAATGCCAAAAAAGAAAACTGGCATAGATGTAACAGCAGAAGCAAAAATATGTAAAAACTGTGGCGATGAGGAGTTAGGTGGTCAGGACAAACACAGATGCAAGGGTAAAGAAAGATTTGAGTACAAGGTTGAAGTTGAAACCCATGACAGACATAGAGAGAACAAAGATCGTATTAATATCCCAGTGTCAGAGGTTACATTACCAAGTGTTGGTCTTAAAACCAAACAAAGCTCGGCTGAATTAGGAACAGGGGGTGAGTGTGGCCTCTCCTCATCTGGAGCAGAAATCAAAGTCCCCAAGATTCCAGACATAGAATTTGATATTGGTACATCACAGAACGAAGATGAGGACAGAACTGAAAAAGGCAAGAAAATCAAAATTCCTAAGTTTGGTGTCCCGTTACCCTCCATCTCCTCTCCAGAGGGAAGAGTAGATATCTATGGGCCAGAAATTCAGTATGAGGGCCCTAAAATGCCCAAAGTAAAGAAAGCTGTCTTTGTCTTGGTAAATCCACCTCAAACAGATGAGGCCACTGCATGCACGGGCCTCCCGGAAGAGGAGACAACATATAAGGCTGAAAAAGAGGATGTCAAAATGAAGATGCCCAAAATCAAAATGAAGCCAAGTTTTGGGAAGTCCAAAGATAAATCAGCTGCTGTAATCACAGAGAGTGAATTGGAGGGAGAACAGACAGGAGGGAAGACGAAAATGCCCAAAGTGTCATTTTCTCCTGGCAAATCAGGGTTGTTTGATGTCACTCTAAAGGGTGAAGGTTCAAGTTCAAGTCTCAATGGCGAAAAAGATGCAAGTCTTCACAAGGGCTCCAAGGATGATAAAGGGACATTCAGTGGCAAAATCAAGCTTCCAAAGGTGGAGTTAACATCTCCATATGGCAAAATGGAGGACAAAGGGTTGAGTGTGAAACTGGGAAAGGATTCATCACCAGGTGAAGCAGAGGGGGACACTAAAGGGTTTAAAAAATCAGGCAAGATGGCCGCCACTGGTGTTAGTGAGGAGCTCTCAAAGGATGTGGTGTCATCTCATGCCAGAACAGATATGCTGGACAGGGACAGCTCAGAGTCCCCCGCTAGTTTTACCATGGAGTGCAGTTCTGCAAAGGTCCAGGCTTGGAGAGAGGTCGACAGCCAAAGCAGGGAGTCTGAAGAAAGAGAATCTTCCTCCTGGTTCAAGGTCCCTAAGTTCTCCCTGAAGCCACACTCCACAGGTAAGGATAATGGAAACTTCAAATTGAGATGACAAGATATTTGAAAAATTAGACAATATAACTTCATATTAATAATAACTTTATCTATATAGCACGTTTAAAAACAGAGTTTACAAAGTGCTTTGACAAACAAAGCAAAGCAGAAGCAATAAACCCCAGAGGCAACATAAAATTACAAGCCAAACAGTAATGCCAAACTAAGGTAAAATTAAACAAGAGGTCAGACCCAAGAATCCAAGTCAAACAACTGTCAATTC